GAGATGGATGGGATATTAGGAACTTCTATCTCCATAAAAAGAAGATATTAACTGAACATGGGAGCCAGCAGTCAGTTGTTCAAAATACCTCTATTAACAGGCAAGAAGTGCTTACAACATCAGAATCTTAATGGAAGTCAAAGAAGAAAAATCTTTAAAGAAACATGCAAAAGATTCTCCTAAGGAAGTTATTCCAAATAATAAAGAATGGGAGGAAAATGAGCAAAGACAATCAAAGGAGGTGAAGTTATTAAAAGAAATAATTCAAGGGCCCCCTGGGTGGCTCAGTCGGTTAAGCAACTGCCTTCGGCTCAGGTCATGATCCCAGGGTCCTTGGATGGAGCCCCACATCGGGCTCCCTGCTCAGCAGGGGAGTTTGCTTCTCCCTCTCCCTCTGCCCCTGCTTATGTTTTCTCTCTTGCTCACTCTCTCAATTAAATAAATAATTTTTTTTAAAAAAGAAAGAATTCAAGAACCAGAGGAAGAAAATACAGAAAACAGGGCACTCCTACAAAACCCAGACAGGTAACTAGGTAAGAAAACCATGCCTACTACCTTGCAGCTCAAGTTCTTTCTGGAAAGATACCACCAGTAACCTGTGGTTGGCACTTGATGAATTTTTTTAAAATAATTTTTTAGAGCAGTTTGGGGTTTACAACAGAATTTAGAAAGAGGTGCAGAGACTTCCCATATACCCCTTGTCTCCATACATTCATAGCCTTCCCCATTATCAAAATCACTCGCTGGAATGAGGAAATTTTTTTTTGCTGAGAATAAACCTACATTGACACATCATAGTCATATGAAGTCTGTAGTTTACCTTAGAATTAACCCTTGGTGTATATTTTATAGGTTTGGACAAATGCATAATGGCATATATCCATTATTATAATATAATGCAGAGTATTTTCAGTGCCCTTAAAATCATCTGTGCTCTTCCTTTTCATCTCTCCCTGCCTCCACCTCTGGCAACCACTCTTCTTTTCATAATGTTGCCTTTTCCAGAAGGTCATATGGTTGGAATTACACAGTATGAAGCCTTTTCACATTGGCTTCTTTCACTTAGTAATATGCACCATATCTTTCTATGGCTTGAAAGCTCATTTCTTTTTAGTGCTGAATAATATTCCATTGTCTGGGATGGGCCATTTGAGCTATCCATTCACCTATGTAAGGACATCTTGGTTGCTTCAAAGTTTGGGCAATTATGAATAAAACCTGCTATAAACATTCATATGCAGGTTTTTGTGTAGATATGTTTTCACCTCCTTTGGGTTGCTCAGTGGGTTAAGCGGCTGCCTTCAGCTCAGGTCATGATCTCAGGGTCCTGGGATCGAGTCCCGCATCGGGCTCCCTACTCAGCCGGGAGCCTACTCCCTCTGCCTGCTGATTCCTCTGCTGTGCTCTCTCTCTGTCAAAAAAATAAAAATAAAAAATAAATAAATATCATAAATACCATTTCAGAATCTATTTTACTTAAGTATTACATCTTTCATTTTTGCCTAATCTTTTCAATCATAACTTTAAATATTGCATTGTGTTCCATCGAAGATACTATGCCAGTATCTTAATTATCTCAATTATTACATAATTATTGCTTCCCCAGTACAGAATTAAAGTTTACAGTACCCAGAGCGCCTGGGTGGCTCAGTTGGTTAAGCATCTGCCTTCGGCTCAGGTCATGATCCCAGAGTTCTGGGATCCAGCCCCACGTCCAGCTTCCTGCTCAGTGGGGAGCCTGCTTCCCTCTCCCTCTCCCTCTGCCTGCCGATTCCCCTGCTTGTGCTGTCTCTCCCTCTCTCTCTGTCAAATAAGTTGATAAAATATTAAAAAAAATAAGACTCTCTCTCCTTTCTCTCTACCCCTCCCCCACTGTGCACTCTCTCTAGAAGTAAATAAATAATCTTTAAAAAAATTCGTATGTTGAAACCCCAATCCTTAATGTGGTGGTATTAGGAGGAGTTGTCTTTGGGAGATAAATAAGTCATGAGGGTGGAGCCCTCATGATGGAATTAGCACCTTTGTAAGAGACACAGGAAAGAGGCTTTCTGCCATGTGAAGATGACAATGAGAAGGCAGCCATCTGCAAGCCAGGAAGAGAGCCCTCACCAAGAATCGAATCTGCAGGCACCTTGATCTTGAGATATTTTGTGCCATTTTTCTTGCTTTTCAGTTGTGTTTTCAACAACATTCCTTGTCTACAGCCCTGTCTCTTGAATTCTCTTCATAATGTGCTATATTTTTGTGGATTCCCATTTTTAATTTTTTTTTAAGATTTTATTTATTTATTTGAGAGAGAGAATGAGAGATAGAGAGCATGAGAGGGGGGAGGGTCAGAGGGAGAAGCAGACTCCATGCTGAGCAGGGAGCCCGATGCAGGACTCGATCCCGGGACTCCAGGATCATGACCTGAGCCAAAGGCAGTCGCTTAACCAACTGAGCCACTCAGGCGCCCTCCCATTTTTAATTTTTTCAACCACCTTTTACAATTTATTTTTATGTTCCCTCATTTCTTATTTTGTCTTCATGATTTATGGTACAAATTTCACTTCTAATCTTTGTGCCTTTTATTTATTTATTTTTTCTTTGTGCCTTTTAAAAGAGGGGTGCCTGGGTGGCTCAGTCGGTTGTGTCTGACTCTTGATCTGAGGGTCATGAGTTCAAGCCTGGTGTTAGGTTCCATGCTGAGCATGGAGCCCACTTAAAGAAAATAAAAATAAAAATAACAGAAATTTATTTCTCCTAATTCTGGAGACCTGAAGTTCAAGATCGAGGTTTCTTGATATTTGATAATCTCATTTCTTGTTTTCTGTGTTCTTTTAACCTGCTCTCTCCCTTGTCACCACCCTTCTGTCCTATTTCCCTTTCATTGCATATAAATCAGATCCTCTCACCTCATACTGGTGGCCACCTCTGTGTACCAGGTGAGTCCTCACCGCACTCCCCCTTTATGCCTCCTTGCCATTAGAACTCTGCTCCTCCCCCACTCTATGATTTTTTCTTTTTTTTTTTTTTACACCTTCTGATTATACTAGAAATGCACTTGGGGCCTTATTCCCTTCTGGTGTGCTGAGATGCCATGCCGTGGTTCTCCTTCCATTTCTGACGTACTGAGCACAGGGACTTCTTCAATTGCTTTCTATCTCTGTGATTCATTTATTGTTCTGCTCATTTACCTCTCTTTCCTCACACAGTAATTTAACAAACACCTATGGAACATCTTGAATGAGACAGCCAGACTGAGTTCAGAAACAGCTTTATTTTAAGGAGCTCAATTTATAGTGGAAGAAGCAGAAAAGTAAGCGGACCACTGATGGTTAGTGTCCGTCAGTGTACTTGACAATAAAAGGATCACAAGGAATCTTGTTTGATAAGTGAAGTTAATGATCCCTACCCCCCAGCACCACGGAGGATGAGACAATGATCACAATAGCCTTTGTCAACTTGTGAGGAGCTCCCTGTTATGGGGTGGTTCTCCCTGGTGAGAGGCACCCCTATTATTTCTGAAGAAAGGTCACTCAAGGCCACCAAAGCTGAAATGGCCACAGCGTTTTGTCTAACAGAAAGTTGCCCCATTCCCTCTGGAAACCAGATCCCAATGTCACCTGCAGAAATGCAAATCCCTTTAGAACAAATCTTAATGGAGGGTGCCTGGGTGGCTCTGTTGGTTAAGTGTCTGACTCTTGATTTCAGCTCAGGTCATGATCTCAGGGTTGTGAGATCCAGCCCCATGTCAGGCTCCACACTGGGCATGGAGCCTGCTTAAGATTCTCTCTCTCCCTTTCCCTCTGCACTTCCCTCTCTCTCTCTAAAAAAACCAAAAAACGAGAAAGAAAGAAAAAAAAAGAACACATGTTAATGGGTATGATGCCTCCTACTCCCACACCCCCATGCATTGCTGGTGACAACTTGTTGAACTTATCAGGACTGGAGAAGAAATTTTCCAGAAACACATGAACATGCCATCCAAAGCCACCTCAGAGAGCAGGGTTTTTGTTTGTTTGTTTGTTTGTTTGTTTTGGTTCTAAGAGAAAGAAAGAAAAGGTATTTCAAATAAACTGCTATGATCTCTGCCCCAGTGAGGAGTCCAGTTTCTTGATGGACCTAGGAAGGGAGTAAATTACAACCCTCTTGCTGAGCACATGGATCCTGGCACTGAGCCTCTAGCCCAGAGGGTTTACGTGGTGCTCCAGGGACAGCAAGATCCTGGGGGTTCACCCCTTTTTGTCCCTGTTTTCTTCTGAAGATGAATGGCTAAGGCTTAGAAATCATGGGTCTTGGGGAACACCGTGCATGGTGACTCCAGAGTTTGTTTGCATTCCCGGTTTTTCACATAACCACAAACCCTTATTTATTTATTTCCACAAATCCTTCTGTTTTTTACACTTAGACTCTTTCTTGAGTAGGGAAGAAAACTGTGGAATCCTAAAGTTCCCTGAGGCAGGCCGCTCCCCTGTCGCTGTCTGCTGGTGCCTGGGGCATTGCATCCCACGTTAGAGAAGAAGTGCAGTTCAGGGAATCGAAGCGTCTTGCCCAAGTCAGAATTCCTGAACCAGGAATGGTTATCGTGGCCTTTTCAGAAAAAAAACAAGATGATGGTGAAGAATCATCGTGCTTGGAAAAGTGGAAGAAATAGGGCTGGAGCTGTGTACCCCTAGGGTCTTGCTTTTTTTCTGTCTTCAGAGCCCAGCCTAGGGCTGGGACACATATCCTATGCCTCCTGTAATCTCCCACAACAATTTTAAGGCGACAAAGTAGGAAAGCCAGGATGCTCTTTTCTCCTTGCTTCCCATTTTTGGGTCCCTTCCAGCCTCCTCCCTCCTGGGACGGGAAGCCCAGGCTGAGCCCTACCATCACCATCCCGTCCGCCATCTCCCTATCCCTCCGACCCCAGCCCCCTCTCCCTACTGAGGAATCCCGGGGCTTTGCCCTCCAGAGACTTTGCCCTTCACCCTATGGTGCACTTGCAGCTCCAGACTCGTACAAGCCGCGACCTGCTTCCCATGAACCTCTGCTTCCCTCGCCAGCAGGGACGCGCGCTCTCGACCCAGGAGTCCTTGCGCGGCCCGGCAGAGCGGACACCCGGGACTCCAAGATGGCGTCAGTCGGTGAGTACCTGTACCCGGTTAAGGTTGCAAGGTTGAGGGCAGGACCCGTGGTTCGGGGATCGGGGCTCAGAGCTGCACTGGGAGGGGAGGGGGCTGCGGAGCCGCCTGCCCTTCGCTCAGGGCCTTCCCTATGGCCTCACTGGAGGCTCACCGAGCCCTTTGCCCAGGGCCCTGCACCGTTCGCTCGCTCAGCGCGCAGCCCGCCTGCCCAAGGGCCCGGGTCTCTCCGCTGCAGTTGCGGGGGTGACGGCAGCGGGGGACGCGTCTGCGAGCTTGGGACTGCACCACGTCCGGCCACCCTTCCTCCTCGTTGAAGAATATTGACCCCGTTGCAGCCCAAGCGCTTTGCATTTGAACCCAAGGCGCAGCTTCTGCCCTTCTTTCCAAAGCTGAAGCTCAAATTAAGCCCCAGGAGGAGCGAACGCCCAGGACGGTGCCTGATACCGTGTCAGGTTGGACGCATATATGTGGAATACGCGTTGAATAGGTTAAGAGAGGTGACGTGACCCCTCAAGGTCACAACTAGTGAGAGGGCTGAGCAGGATGCAAACCTAGGTCGTGGTAAACTGAGCTTTAATCTCAAGGATGGCCTTATGATCTGCAGGCTTTTCAGTGACATGCGTGTATAAATCTACACTTCTTGGACTGTGCACACTGATTTTTTTTTTTAAGATTTATTTATTTGAGAGAGCGAGCATGAGAGGGGGCAGGGTCAGAGGGAAAAGCAGACTCCCTGCTGAACAGGGAGCCCGATGTGGGACTCGATCCTGGGACTCCAGGATCATGACCTGAGCCAAAGGCAGTCGCTTAACCATCTGAGCCCCCAGGCGCCCTTGTGCACACTGATTTTTTTTTATTTATTTATTTTTAGTACGGAAACCATGTTTTAGCCCTAGAGCCTCTCACATTAGCCTTGTCATTAAGTCCCTGTCTGGAACGTTGATCCGATTTTAAAGATGAAAATAAGGGTCAGAGATGTGGTGTGGCCTGCCTGAGGCAGAGTTTTGATTAACCTATGTGTTTTACCCAGTTTATATATTCTTTTTTTTTTTTTTTAAAGATTTTATTTATTTGACAGAGAGGGACACAGCGAAGGAGGGAACACAAGCAGGGGAAGTGGGAGAGGGAGAAGCAGGCTTTCCGCGGAGCAGGGAGCCCGAAGCGGGGCTCGATCCCCGGACCCCGGGATCATGACCCCAGCCGAAGGCAGACGCTTAACGACTGAGCCACCCAGGCGCACCCCCAGTTTCTGTATTCTTAATATCAGCCTGGAGAAGTGAAGAGGGGATCAGAAAAGATGAGAATGATGCTGTTTTTCCCATCTGTAAAAAACAGGTATGAGAATATTTATCAGCGGTGGTTGTATTGTTTAAACAAGAGGACATGTGAAAAGGAAGCATTGCGACTTGGCATCTTATTTACGTAGAGCAAAGTGATGAGCATTGTGGACTAAGGATTAAACAATTTAGTATGTGTAAGGTACTTGAACCACTGCTGGCCTGCTGTTGAGTACTGGTCATCTCAGCTTCCACTCTGTGACCTTTGAGCAGGGTCATGCCACATCTGGCCCATTCAGCATCACCCTAGGTGAAGGAGTTGAAGTCCAAGTCTTTTAAGTACTGACCATCTTTTAGCTGGTGTTTGTCGCCAGAACATAAAGCCACTAGTTCATTAGCAAATAAAGTGATGGAAATATGAATTAACAGCAGTAGATGAGATCGGGTCAGCAAACTGTGGCCAATGGGCTAGATTTCCTGTGATCTGTTTTTGTATGGCCTGTGAGCTAAGAATGGTTTTTAAAAATTAAAAAAAAAAAAAATGTTCTGAAATCTGGCCACTCTGTGGCCAGCCCTAGGCTGGATTTAGCAACCAGAAGACATTTAGCATTTTATGCCTCTCCGTATAGGTGGACAGTATGCTTCTTTGAAGTCATAAAATCAGGCCAGGGAGCCACCTACCCTCCCAAGAACATGTGGTCCTTTCTCAACCTTCACTGAAAGTCTGTTAGGACGACGAACTGTATGTGGGGTTGCTCCCACCTTCACATAGCTCATAGGCAGAAAGACAGATACTTTCCATTTACATAGTACCTACAGCCAATTACCAAGGTGGCTGCTGTTCTTTTTTTTTTTTTTTTTAAGATTTTTATTTATTTATTTGACAGAGAGCAGGAGAGCACAGGCAGGGGGAGCAGCAGAGGGAGAAGCAGGGAGCCCGACGAGGGTCTCGATCCCAGGACTTTGGGATCATGGTCTGAACCGAAGGCAGTCACTTAACCGACTGAGCCACCCAGGCGCCCTGGTGGCTACTGTTCTTAACCTTCTTTTACAAAGGAGGAAACTGAGGCACAGAAGGCAGGAACTTGTCCAAGGGTGCACAGCCACAAAGTGGCACTAAACCCAGAATACGGGACTCCCCAGTCTGCTGTGTTTATCACTGCCCTCTACCAGTGTGAGCCAGTGAATGCAGAGGGGTGTGCAGCACCGCAGGAAGTGCTGGGGGAGGGCTCCAGTTTGGCTGTCTAAGGACTGAAGTCTTTGTCTTCCATTACGAGAGACAGTCTTGGAAAAAGTGTAGATGCATCTCTGATGAATCTGTTGATCTCTTGGAGTTCTATGGTGATGCTGTTTTTGGCTGTCCTTAGGCCTGATGTGAAATTTTTCCCCCGTCTTTATAAATTTCTTAGTTTTTGTTAAGGAAACCCTCTTTATAGGTCTAAATATATAGAAAAATGAATTTTAAATTGTTGGCTGTTTTCCCCTGTGATGTGCCAAGGTGCCATGTCAGCCTCTGAATGTGGTCGTGAGAATGCAGAGTATGTTTTCATAATTTGTGGGATCAGAAGTGACCTGATTTTTTTTGTTTTGTTTTGTTACCAGCCTTACACCAGTCCCAAATACTTGGACTTAAAATACTGTTTCTTTTGTACACCTCCCCCAACATAGTCCTATGGTTAAGAGCATTTTTAAACCTTTTATTAAGGAAGATTTCAAAGATGAGGGAAACAATAATGTAACGAACACTTCAGACCCATTTCCCAGTGCCAACAGTTGGCAACATTCGGCCCTTCTCGTTCCATTTATACATTAGTCACGCACTCCCTGCCGTGGGGCCCTGTTTAAAGCCAGTTGGTTTTAGCATGGCATGTTTGCACTCCTCACTGCATGCACGGAGGCTTCGAGGCTGTAGCAAAGGCGTTGACTCTGTTCTTACTCAGGAACAGTTATTCTTGGACTGGGGCCTTCTGAACCAAGTGAAGACAAAACTGGTATGTAAAAATGTGTACTTGTTAGACTTTTCTAAGAATAGCATGGACAGGGTGACAGAAAGACACAGGCCATTCTCGAATGACATTATCGTGTGGTATTACTATCACTGACACTAAACTCTCCCAACAGAGATTTGGAACATGTCCCGAAATTCCTTTGAAACGATCTGACATTCAAAAATATTACCAAACTAATCACCTCACAGTTTTCTGTTTGTAAAAGAACTAAAAGGGTGCGAGTAATCCCTGAAGTCCTGTTGCTTAAAACGTCCTTAAGTCTGGTTTCTATGCCATTTCTTTTTCTCCTTCTGTCTTTTTTCTTTGTTTCACAGAGACCTTAATGACATTTCAGCAAGAATACATGCTAACGCCTCACAGTTCTGAGTACTGTTCCAAATGCTTTTACATGGATTCTCATTGAGTGCTTGGAATAAGCCATTTTACAGGCAGGGAAACTGGAGCTCAGAGCTTATATAGAAAGGTAGTGCTAGTGCTTGAGATAAGATGGGCAGGGAATAACTTTTAGGGAATAACATTTATGTTGAGCTGGCCGAGTGATGATGACCCAGGAGCACGGCACGTACAAAGGCCCTCAGGTAAAGCAGCAGAAAGGGGTCTGGCGGGAGGACGGTGAGCCCGGTGAGGTGAGCGGGTGAGCTGGTTGTCTGGCGATAGAAGGTTGGCTCCTGAGGGCAGGGCTCTCATTGCAGTCGGTGCTGTGTCCATGGTGTGTGGCACGCTGCCAGGCATGCACCAGGTGCTCCGCGTGTGTTGGATTGAGTCTAGATGGAAGATTCGGGCCAGTTTGTTTGGGACGGGCAGCCTAAACCATAACCCTCAAGCTATGTATGCAAGTCTTAGGCTTAGGCCTCCACCTGTCACTTGTGGCCCCTTTTTTTTTTTTTCTTTTAATATTTCATTATTTGACAGAGACACAGGGAGGGAGGGAACACAAGCAGGGGGAGTGGGAGAGGGAGAAGCAGGCTTCCCGCTGAGCAGGGAGCCCCATGTGGGGCTCGATCCCAGGACCCTGGGATCATGACCCGAGCTGAAGGCAGATGCCTAACGACTGAGCCACCCAGGTGCCCCTCACTTGTAGCCTCTTGACAAACACTGAAACACTGGATCTGGTTCATTCGGGCCCAGTGTCTAGTTCTCCAGATGACCGTAGCAGATGAGAAGCTGCCATTAAACCTTGTATTTCTGTGTGGCCCAACAACCCTTGCCCTTGTTAAGTGTTGGGAGATGTCAGGAGATCTCTGGGATTCCCCTCAGTGGACTCTTTTTTTTTTTTTTTTTAAAGATTTTATTTATTTATTTGAGAGAGAGAATGAGAGATAGAAAGCATGAGAGGGAAGAGGGTCGGAGGGAGAAGCAGACTCCCCGCCGAGCAGGGAGCCCAATGCGGGACTCGATCCCGGGACTCCAGGATCATGACCTGAGCCGAAGGCAGTTGCTTAACCAACTGAGCCACCCAGGCGCCCTCCCCTTAGTGGACTCTTGAGGCTGGTCCTTGCAAAGCCTCAGTCTTTTCCTTGGATCCCCAAAACGGAGAAGAAACCTTTCTTTGAGTGATTTGGTCCGGCTCCTTCTGTGGTTGGTAATCTTTAAGAAAGGACAGTAGCCTTTGACTCCTTGCCTTCAAGAGGATCCCTGCCCAGAAGCTTTTTAAAGGTGATCTCTGTGGGGAGGATGAGAAAGGAGACCATTCTCTCCTTATGAGCATGTGAACATTCACAGTTCTACCCCGCTCTGGCCCTCCCTGGTCCCCTTCCTATTTTACTCTTAAGCTGAGATAATTACAATATGGCCTCAGCCTGGAGCCCTTCCTGTTCTGTCCCCAGACTCTCATTGGAATATTATCTGGGGCCCATTGGATCATTTGGAATGGTTTTTATTAAGTCATTTAACATTTGTGGCCCCAGGTAGGACGTTTGAGGTAAATATCAGATTGTCTTGAGGAGCATGGGAGCCAGACCTAAGGTTGAGCACTGCCCTACTGGCTGCATGCTGTGTGACCTTGGCCAAGTGGCCCAGCTTCGCTGAGTCAGTCTCCCCCACTCATAAAATAAAGGCATCAGCTACTTGCTGTGAAGATTAAATGAGCTAATACGTGTAAATATGAGTTTTGTAATCATTTTTCTATTCTGTCCTCCACCTGATTACTTAATTCCTCACGGCCCTTAGGTTCTCTCTTTACATAGTTATTCCCAGTAAGCTGTTATTCAAATCTTGATCATTAGAACTGTCGCTTTTATACACTGTGGCTTAAAATAGTGAATTTGGTGTGATATATTTATTCATAATATTCCTTGTGTGCAGCCTCTGTGTAGTGACTTTATTGAATGGTTGAAGTAAGTGACATAAAAGGATGCTATTTGTCTAGTGCGTGTTTTCTGCTCTTCCTTTTCAGTACCACTGAAGGAGAAGAAGCTCATGGATGTGAAACTAGGAGAGCTGCCCAGCTGGATACTGATGCGGGATTTCACCCCTAAGGGCATTGCTGGAGCATTTCAAAGAGGTCAGAGCCTACAGCCATGTGTAAAAAAAAAAAAAAAAAGCAAATGCCTAGGTCTTCTGGTCTCTCTTTGCTCTGAATTAATTTGAGCAGTCAAGGCCTTGTCTCAGACCAGTAAGTTATGTAGACCAATAAGTCCCTGTAGACGGGGACAGATTCTTAGCCCCTGAAGCTCTGTGTTTGATTGGTGATTGGTCCTATCAGAGGCTGGCTCTAAGATATTTCAGCCAAGAAAATGTTTTCTGTTGCTTGGAATTGGTACCACTGCCTTTGTCTTAAGTGTCTACAAGCATTTTTACATCGTAAGACTTTTTAAAGAGGAAAATGAGTTTGAAACATAGTGGACATCAGTCCATAAGGTAACGCTCATCCCCCTGCCAGGCAAAACTTCGAGGGTGGATGTTTGAAATGATCTATCCTTCAGGTCTGTGCACGGTCACATCAGCCCCGTGGGGCCCCTGCCCTCATTCCAGGAACCAGAGACCCACATCAACCTACAGATGCCTGTGTAGTCTCTGGCTTCGAGGCCCCCCCCCGCCCCCGGTTTTTCTTTCCAGTCCTGGCCGCCCTGTAATTCTTGTGTGGCATGTTTTCCTTCTGCCCTGAGAGGCCCTTCCTTAGCTCAGATGAGAATTCTCTGCCTTTCCTCATACTTAGTGACAACAGTCCCTGACTTCCCAGCTTCTCTCACTGTTATAAACCAGGGCCTTCTAGAATCATTTCATTCATTTTTTTTGTCAACCAAGCTACAAGCCCCAAAGAAGGCAGAAACCATTTTCTCACTGGTGGGGGTACCCAGCAGAGATGATCGCACAAAGCCTTCTTGCCCAGCAGGCAGACCTAGCCGGCCTCAGCTAAGTGGCCTTTACTTGGGGTTGGATTTTTGGTCAGAATGAGGGTAAGAGCATCCCTAGGGCTGGAGGGAAGGGTGAGGCAGCATCAGGCTAACAGGCTGAGCCAGGTCTGTTAAAGTGAAGGCCGAAGCACAGGGGAAGGATCCAGGTGGGCCTAGCTGGGGCTTGACCCCTGGGGCCTTGGTGCTTTTCCCTTCATCAGCCAGTGAATTTAGGGTGAGTGGCTTTCAAGAGTCAGAATGGAACTGGGTCCCTGAATCTAAGCCAGACTCGACTTTGCAGTGTGTGAAGCATTCACCGCAAAGCAAACAGTGGCCTCCTCTCTCGTTTGCAGGTTACTACCGGTATTACAACAAGTATGTCAATGTGAAGAAAGGGGGCGTTGCTGGGATTTCTATGGTGCTGGCAGCTTATGTGCTTTTCAACTACTGTCGTTGTTACAAGGAACTCAGTGAGTGTCTCTCTGGTCGCCTTGCCCTCTGGGATTTCTCATTGCTGGGTGGGACTGGTTCACTGTCAGGTTTACAGGTCCCTCATTCTATGGCAGCTGAAAAACTGGGAGGGACTTTTGAGAATGTAGTACAGAAGATGCTATTTTAAGCGAGAAAATTGTGGCAAAGAGAAAATAAAGACAGGAAAACTGACATGAAGCCCGGATAAAAGTAGTACTTAGGAAGCATTCTGTAAGGTGCTGCAGGCTCCGCAGAGGGTTGGTGGAAAATTTTGGCTTCATCTTCCTTTTTTTTTTATTTTATTTATTTATTTTTTTTAAAGATTTTGTTTATTTATTTGAGAGAGAGAATGAGAGAGAGAGAGAGTACATGAGAGGGGGGAAGGTCAGAGGGAGAAGCAGACTCCCCGCTGAGCAGGGAGCCCGATGCGGGACTCGATCCCGGGACTCCAGGACCATGACCTGAGCCGAAGGCAGTCGCTTAACCAACTGAGCCACCCAGGCGCCCCTGGCTTCATCTTCCTAGCAGCCAGTGCGGAGAGAGAGGAGTGGGACAGTCCAGCGTCTGTGCCGTGTTCTGGAAAGGCGTAGCTTGTCCTGGGTCTGAAGGCCGAGAGGAGCTCGTGGGGCGGGATTGGGTAGCAGAGTGCCCACGGCAGCCCCTGCCAGTCTGAAAGCCGGGGTGATGCTGGCTCCGAAGGCCAGGCTCTTGGGGACTGTGTCTGAGTGTGCGTGCCTCCTGGGAAGGATGAGGCTGGCCAGGCTGCACATTAGCTCCTGAGGTGCCTTCGTACCTCCACGGCTGCTCATTCTGCTGAGACGCTGGCAGGCAGGTCCTGGGTTATAGCCTGAAAGGAATCCTCAGCGGGCCCCCCCCGCCCCCCATCTTGTGCTTTTACTACACCTTTAAAGAAACCTACCATCTTGCCTTTCTAACTTCAGAACACGAGCGGCTCCGCAAGTACCACTGAAGAGGGCCCGGTGTGGAGGCGCTTTCGGCATTCCTGACCATGACCTTTGCCTGGCACCCTTGAATCCTTTCATATTCTAATTCAGAATTAACATCCAATAAAAGATGACTGGCACTCGGACTGCTTCCCTGGTGTAGCCATCTCCCTGCCCTCTCGGAGCTCTTGCTGTAGCAGCGGGGATGAGAGCGCGCTACAGTTCCCAAAGGGTGATTCTTGTCCGTGGCCCAGGGCTTTGAACCAGTGGGCTGCCCACCACGGCTTTGGGACCTTGTTCCAGCTCACTGGCGGTGGGGTGTCACCTAGTTAAGCCTGTCAGGTGCCCAGAGGGGTTTCCCTGCTCTTTGCACCTAAAGTATTCTAAGTACTTCTGGCTTTTTGTCAGCTGATACTTTCACATCAGAACTGAGGCTGAGTGCCTGAGAATGCCTTCTCCTCCCCCATCTTGCTGCATTATGCAGGCTGCCGTAGTGTGGGCCCTCCTGGTAAGGAAACTTCTTCACCTGTGGGAGGATTCAGGGGAGCAAAGGAAAACAGAGGCCCTGACAGGAGCTCACAACTGCCCCTGTATCCAGCCCCCTCATCCTTAGCCTTCATCAGAGATCTTCAGTAAAGGGACATGAAGGCCAGAACTGGTTTCTTGAGGGGTGTATGGTAAGAACATACTGCATGGAGTGTAAAGGCTGAGACGGCTAATTATCTCGTAGAAGATCCGCATTTGAATAAGCATTATCATCCAACATCTGAGATGGAGTAAGGAGACCTGCCACGTGGCTGTTTAAACAAAGGCCAAGCTTCCAGACTTTACCAGCTGCCAGGACAGAGGCCCTTCCTTCCCCTTGCAGCCTCCCTCCCCTCCAGGAGATTCACATGTCGAAAGAGGACAAGCAAACACGATACCAAAGCTTCCTGCTGAGCATCTCGTGGGGCCAGCAGCAGGAGTCCTCTCCTTGGCGTGGGGTCCCTGAAGTAATGAGACGCAGCTTAAAAAACAAGCTTTAATCAACCTCATAAAAAGTGTTCTTGTAATGGAACTTGGATAGGCCCACTTGCCCAGCAGGTTGCAGGTGATGGTTTCACATTTCCAGGTTCGGGGGCAGGATAGTCTCCGGAGGCCAGAGGTGAGTGCCTGTACAGATGCTTGGCGGGGCAGGAGGTAGGTGCACAGATGGACCGTGTCCTCTATTTAATGGGTGCTCTGCAGCTCCAGCTGAAGGTATACCTTTGAGATATACCACTGTCAAGTAGGTGCTCCAAGGAAGTCAGCCCAGAGGAAAAAGACCCTCACACCTGAGAGCCCTGCGCCCTTCCTCTCAACCACTGCTGCCTTGGAGCAGGACCAGGTCGAGGCAACAAGTGCACTTAAGTTTGCCCTGAAGGGCTGCCTCGTTCAAATCACATCGATAGGCACAGCTTCTGAATTCAGCAGGACATGGAGGAAGCAGGCATGACCTGGCTGAAGCTTTAAATGATCCACCAGCCCCCGGGGTCACCAAGAACTGGTGTTTAATGAGGAGGCCTCGAGGGGAAGGGCTGCCTTCCATACAGCCTGCTTAGCACAAGCCCTTCGCCACGACCTCCCCTCCCCAGATCGGTGGTGTGCAGGGAGATCCGGACAGGAGGTGTGGATGCTAGACAAACATGATGCCGACTTGGAAGGACCAAACTAGAGCACCTGTCCCCTTTTAAGAACTGATTACAGCAAAATGATAGGGAAACTGATGTAGCCCCTCAGAACGATAACCCCAGTGTGCCTGCCTGCCAGCCCCAGCCAGTGTGGCACCAACACCGGCGTGAAACAGTTCAGTGCACGCTCCCAACGAGGGCCCAGAGCGGTTCTCAACAGTGGTTGAGAACAACGGTTCTCAACCCCTCTGGGCTGCTCTGAGCTGGCTCCAGCTGCTGTCACTGTCCACTGAGAAAGGCCAAGTGCCCTTTGGTGCATCTGTTGGCGTAGTGTCCTTTCTCGCCACACTGGGAACAGCAGGAAGGGAGGGAGGAGACAGAAAAAAACCACCGTTTTCAAATGCAATTTTCAAGTAAGGTCACACCCACCAAATACCAGGTTAGGGATGGGACTCTGCAGTTCTCAGTGGTACAGACTTTCGTTCAAACACGAAGGAAAAGGAGCTCCAAAGTATAGTGGCCCAGAAACTCCAGCAACTCAGCAGATGGAAGAGCAGCTGCAGAGCCAGAGGACGATCTGCGAGCACAGCAGGGAGAGCTCCTGCAGGCCCGTCCACGGAAGGTCTCATGGTGGGTGGCAGGACGATGAGAATCCCGTGGCACCAGAGCTCCCCCACCTGCCTGGGGACCAAGCCCCTCTGTAGGGCTGGCCAGTCACTTACCTTTCTGAGGCACTCTTCTGGAGACAGGAGGCAACAACGTGAGAGAAGCCACCAGGCTCCTCCCCCCAACCCGGGGACTCACTGCCGTGGACACAGGGTGGGCTGCACCCAGTTTTCCCTCCTGGCTCTTGCAAACTTGCCTAAGCTACCCCAGGGATAGGTTTGTTACAGGATCAGAGAGATGGACAACGGTTAGACCTGGGTGAACAGACCCAGAGCCTCACTTAAAAAATCTAGCACTGACTGACTTATCTCGGCTCCAGCTCTCCAGGCCCTTCCTTAGCTTCTCTTCATTCGTTCTTGTCACTCGGAAAGCAGAAGGGATTTAAAACGTTAACGGCAGCCTCAAGCACAGACCAGGGGGTTGGGAGGAGACAGGAGGGGGCACCCACTCGGCACTAACCCACCCAGGGCCCTCGCAGTCCCGACTTCCTTGGCCTCGGGCCCAGATCTCCAGCCTGCTCTGTCTCCCACAGGCCCCGTGTTCTCAAGTCAGCCTGATCTGTGGGTGTGACTGCATGGATGAGTGGCCCATGTAGCTGCCAGCTGGCCCTAACACTGAAGAGATGAGCAGAGGGAAGCACTGACCGGGCCCCTGCTCACAGCACCTGGCATGTCCATCGTCCTCCACAGCTGATCCTGGAGAACCCAGGATTCCCACAAGGTGCCTATAATGTTGACTATGAAGTGCGCGTGGTGAGAAGAGGTTGGTTAGGTTCCGGCTCCACCTAAGTTCAGGATGCAGGAGAGCTTGCTGCAGAGGGCGGGGGGACGAGGGCCAGGACGCCAGCCACACTGCCTCCGAGCACCTGCGCTTCCTCAGACTTGCGAAGTGACTGGTCGGAGGCACAGCCCCCTCTCCGTACTCTCCTCACCTGGTGGGGCTCAGGCTCAGAAATCTGAGGCCTTCAGGGGTTTGGGGCACCTACCGTCCCCTCCCCGCGGAACACAAACCTCTCCTGGGAAAGAACTCAACTGTTCTGTGAGTGTCTCACGGCTGTGGAAAGCGGCTCAGCCTTTCCTGAGGGAAAGTTCTAAGAACAATTAAAGCTAAGCATACGCCTCCTAACTCGGACCTTCTACCTGGAGGCATGGATGCTGCTGTCAGGCGGCAAGAGCTCACAGATGTCCAAGTGTCAGATTCAGCACTGTTTTTAGCAGCAAAAACTAAATTGCTACTAACAGAGAACTGGTAATGTAAACTGCAGTTCTGTACACACCCAGTGAAGCAGATTAGATTTATGTTTACTAGCACAGAATGATCCACAACATATTATCGAGAAAAAAAAAAAAAAGACTGTACAGGACATTATACATCCCAGGGCCCTATTTGTATTAAAATATACGTTCCTTGTGCTCGTGTGAATAAAAGTTTGGCACCGCAGTTCTCCGTGTGGGGTCCCTGTGGGGCGTGAAGGAGCACCAAAACCAAAAATCGTGACAACACAGCACACGGAATTAAGTGGCTGTTTTAGGAAAGGTGGAAATAGGGCCAACACTCTGTACCCAAAACATTTGTGTGTCATCTAAATGTTCTTACCAAAAGGGTGTACTAACTTTGTATTTTGTCTAATAATCCCCAGATCTGAAGTTTTTGTGGCCTAGTTCTATTATCAGTTGTTTCTGCTGACTTCCCTCAGTGCTGGTGGTTTCCTTCTAGGTTTTTGTGATTTTTAATTATGAACTCATTCTTCAGAACTTTAGCTGTGGGAATTAGATGTGGTCGGGTTGAGAATAAATTCCTTGTAGAACCAGGCACCAGGGGCCCACATCTGGGGCTGTTTCAGATCGGAAAACCCAGTTTACAGCTTTCCAGAATACACCCCGAACTCATGAAGGGTCCCCTGGTGACTATAAACTCTCAAGGCACTTATCTCCTCCGCCTTTCCATCCAGAGCCAAGAATGAGACAGGTTTTCTAGTAGGTTTTTAAAAAAGTTTACCCTTTCCCTGAGGGGAGTGTGTGTGTGCTGGGGAAGGGGGTGAGTTCTAATCTGTTTTCCTCCTGTGTGGGCTTAAAGCTTTGTCCCCTTTCCCTTGGGGATGCCCTTGCAGGATGTGAGAACATCCAGAGGCTTCAGGGCCTACTCCCTTCCCTGGGACTGGTGCTTCTACTTCATTACCAGCCTCCCTTTCCCGCAAGCTCCGGCCTTTCATTCAACAGCATGTGTGATCGTTCCCTTGGCCTTGGTGTGTTGTGGAAGGAAGCAGGTTGGTCTTCAGCCCACCAGGGTAGCCCAATTTCACTCTTACAGTCCAGAAACAAAGATGCTACCATTTTTCAAAGTGAACTACGCAGGGAATGGGGGAACGGCCCCGCCCCGCCCCCCAGCCCTGGGACTCACCTTGTAACAGGTGACCTGCTCCAGCGGCCGGGGTCCCCGGTTGCCTGCGCTGCTGTTTTGACTCTGCATGACCCCGATGACCTGCGGGGCTCTCTGCTGATTGGGAGAAGAGTTCTGACTCGTTAACTGGATCAAGGAGGACGACCTTTGTAATGGCGGATTGTTACTTTGCTGGAAAGAGTTACACAACACGGTTTTACTGCGGAAAACACGTGCACGCAGACTACCAATGGGGACAGGAGAAAAGAGGGCGGGACTGCTCCCGCACGACCAGCAGGAAGAAGGGCTTCCGTGGTGGCCCTGCTCAGGAGAGCAGGCAGAAAAGAAACATCTGGTGATGATGGCAGGAGCCGCTGCCCGAAAAACACCATGCAGACACACAAGAACGAAAAATAAAAGTAGAAAACAAAACACCAAAGAGACGAGGAGGTCTCTGGGGCAGCAGGGCGAGGGCATGAGCAGGCCTTACTTTTGTTTCTGAGGTTCTAGCTTCAGGTCAGGATGAACGCTTGGTTCAGCCAGATGTTTAGCAGCCTACACGGCGAGCAACAGTCACAGAAAAACAGTTGGAGGCTGACATGCTGACCCGCGGTCTAGGGGCCGAGAGGGCCCTCCACTAGGGAGTCATGTGAGCAAGGGGGACGGGGGCTCCTGGCGTGGGGACTGGACAGCTAGGCCACCTCCCAACCAAGAGGCTTCCTGGCTCTGGCCCCCGTAAACAGGAGCAGTGAGCTAGAAACCCCCAGGTTGTCACGGCTGCTCCTGCACCCAGGAATTCCTGGCTTTGCGATGAGGTCTGAGTTACCCCACAACCACCTGAGGGTGGGGCTCAGTGCAACACGCCCTCCTGGCTCAGCCTGTAGCACTCAAAGATGGACAGGGCTCTGGCAATGGGCTTTGAGTTCAACCAAGTAAAAGGTAAGGATGCAAGATCAGTAGGCGGGGGTACTCAGCCTGTTGAGACCCTGCTTAGTGCACCTGGCCAACCTTTCTTCTGGGCCCCCAACCCTCCACTCCCATAACCAAAACCAGGGTGCCCTTGGTTTGTGGGGGGTGGGGGGCTGCACGTGTCTCTGGCATCTCTCCCTCTCATGCTTGAGATGATCAGCCCATTGCTGGGTTGTGGGACCCCCCTTGTCTAGGAAGGTGGAGCCAGCGGGTCCTTCAGCACTGTTGCCAGCCCACCCTCCCTGCCAGGAACCTCCACACGGGGCAGCAAGGGCACTGGCACGGGCCGGAGACCCGGTCAGCCCCAGGTCTGCTCCCAGGCTGCTGCTGCCGCCCAGCTGGGGGACCTCAGACGAGGCCCACCTTGAGGACTCTGTTTCCCTGTTTATAAAGGGACGGGCTGGAACCAGAAGCACGAGCAGCAGGCCCATGGCGCCCATGCCGCCCTCCACTCTGGCTCCCGAGGGGGCGCACTGAGCCACTCGCCAGGCCAAAAGGGAAGAGAAGCCACACGGGCGTTGGGCTCTAGCAGACAGCCCTCCACCTCTCGAGGGAGATGCAAACGGGAACTCAGGGAGACTCCCCTCCAGTCCCACCTCCTCCCCTGCCTCTCACGTGTCGCCAGCCGGGTCTGGGGCCGACTGCGCACCAGGGCAGGCACAGCTGGGGCTGGGGCACGGTACCTTTGTCGGAGGCTGCGTCTGCTGTGGCAGTGGGGGCTGCTCGGTGGTTCCCATTGGCAGTTCAAATCGAGGGCTGGTCACCCCGCAGCCAGAGGGGAGGACAACAAGGGGAAGAGAAGAAGGGATGAGAGAGGGGCCAGGCCAGGCAGTGTTCTCAAATTCTGGCCCTGGGAGACCACAGGCAGCCTCTGCCCAGGCACAGAACGCGCCTGGACGTGGGGTGGGTGCTGGCTCTCAGCTCTGCCCCGAAGCCTCGGGAAAGAGAGGCGAAAAGAATGGACTCACCTGGACTCAGACCTAGCTCTGCTCCCACCTAGCTGTGAGTCCTGCCCAAGTGCTGCTTCCCCACAACACACACCCTTTCCTGAGGGTCTAGCTCAGCTGCCGGACCACCTCCAACAAGACACACTCCCTGGCTCTCACCTAGGGAGTGGGACCAAGTCCGCAGCACCTGTCACCTGCCCACTGTGTGGCAGTGACCGGGACCCTGTGCTTCTGTGCAGGTGTCAGTGGGGTGGATGGAAGCAGCCTGGGGACTGGGGGACTACACTACTCTGCAGTCGCAGAAGTCCGACTCCACAACCACCCAAAGCGACAGATGTGCACTAAGGCCTAGGAGAGGAGCTCTGAGCCCTGCCGGGCAAGGAAAACCCAGCTTCGGAGGCCACGGACCTGCCCTTGACCAGCTGCCACCCCTGCCACCACGTGATCCTGGCCAGTGGCTGAGCTCTGAGCCTCAGTGTTCTCATGTGTGAAATGGAGACATTCTCCATTTTCTCTCTTGCACACACACACACACACACACATGAAGAGCTGTATGGACTAGTGTGCGTGGAATCTCAAGGTCATTGCCTCCATAAAGGAGGCCCCCAAACCAAAGTCTCCTTCCTTTAGGGCACAGGTTCTTAACCAGAGATCCCTGAGTGACATGCAAAGACATGAGGTTTCCCGGAGCACGGAGGCCAGCTCTTCTCAGATCTATGACCCAGGAAAGCTTAAGTGCTGGGCTCGGCAGCGCCACCTCTGAGCTCAAGGAGCAGCGGCAGCCCCTGCCCCAGGCCCTGTGGTGACAGCACGCAGTGATCAAAGCCCAGATGGACTCGGGAAAGATCTAGAGGGCAGCAGGGCCTGGGGTAGGAGCAGGGTGGGGGAGTAGGGTCTGGCTACTCACTGCATGAATTTACACGAGGGCCCCTCCGGGCAGAATCCCACGAGGTAATTCACACAGATGACTCTCCGCGTGTGCCGGTGTCTGCAGAGGGGACCTGCGGAGCCAAGCGTCCGAGACACTCAGACGCCCTGCTTCGGGGGATGCCCTCGTGCCCCTGGGCCAGTGGAGCCCTGCCCACACCACTGCCGGGGATGCCGAGAGCAAAAGCAGGGCTCCAGATGCGGGCTCTGCCTCGTATCCATTCAGGGGGGACAGCAGGCAGGGCCCACGACCCCTTCAATGGTAGTTTCCTTATGGAAAATACGGGAGAGAAGGCAGTCCATGCGGGAGGTCTGGGAGGCTCAGGTGAGCTGAGGGTGTAAAAAGGCCTCACTAGCCCCACATGCCTAACCCCAGGTCTTACTGCAACAGGTGGGACAGGTAGAGAGGGTCGTGTGGGCAGAGGAAGAGAGGCCTGGCCTCTTGCTGGGGGTCCAGCCACCCCGACACCTACCATGCTTGCAGAAGCCACGGTCGTACCAAGGGCAGTCCTTGATCTTGGACTCGGGGTCGATGTGCAGGAAGGGGCACTCCTTGT